TATTATGTCACAGGGCAACTCTTAGACAATATAAAGGAGTAGAGATAATACCATGCATCTTATCTGATCATAATGGAATGAAACTGAAAATCAACGATAAAAGAAGGAAGGAAAAAGCATACATCAATTGGAGAATGAACAATAGGTTACTGAATGATCAATGGGTTATAGAAGACATCAAGGAGGAAATTAAAAAATTCTTAGAGATAAATGAAAACACAGACACAACATATTGGAATCTATGGGACACATTGAAAGCAGTTCTAAGAGGAAAATTCATTGCTTGGAGTTCATTCCTTAAAAAAAGAAAAAACCAACAAATAAATGATCTCATACTTCATCTCAAAATCCTTGAAAAAGAAGAGCAAAACAACAGCAAAAGAAGTAGAAGGCAAGAAATAATGAAAATCAGAGCTGAAATTAATGAAATCCAAACAAAAGAAACAATTGAAAAAATTGACAAAACTAAAAGTTGGTTCTTTGAAAAAATAAACAAAATCGACAGACCCTTAGCCATGCTAGCGAAGAGAAGAAGAGAGAGAACTCAAATTACTAGCATACGGGATGAAAAAGGCAATATCACAACAGACACTTCAGAAATACAGAAGATAATCAAAAACTATTTTGAATCCTTATACTCCAATAAATTAGAAGATAGTGAAGGCATAGATAAATTTCTTAAGTCATATGATCTGCCCAGATTGAGTCAGGAGAGTATAGAAAACCTAAACAGACCAGTATCAATCGAGGAAATAGAAGAAACCATAAAAAGACTACCAACTAAGAAAAGCCCAGGTCCGGATGGGTATACAGCAGAATTTTACAAAACCTTTAAAGAAGAACTAATACCAATACTTTTCAAGCTACTTCAGGAAATAGAAAAGGAGGCAGAACTTCCAAATTCATTCTATGAGGCCAACATCACCCTGATACCTAAACCAGACAAACACACTTCAAAGAAAGAAAACTACAGACCAATATCTCTAATGAACCTGGATGCAAAAATCCTCAATAAAATTCTGGCGAATCGGATACAAAAACATATCAAAAAAATTGTACACCATGATCAAGTAGGATTCATCCCTGGGATGCAAGGCTGGTTCAATATACGGAAATCAATAAATGTTATTCACCACATCAATAGACTTAAAAATAAGAACCATATGATCATCTCGATAGATGCGGAAAAAGCATTCGACAAAGTACAGCATCCCTTTATGTTCAAAACTCTAGGAAAACTAGGGATAACAGGAACATACCTCAATATTGTAAAAGCAATCTATGCTAAGCCTCAGGCTAGCATTATTCTGAATGGAGAAAAACTGAAGGCATTCCCTCTAAAATCTGGAACAAGACAGGGATGCCCTCTCTCTCCACTTCTCTTCAACATAGTTCTCGAAACACTGGCCAGAGCAATTAGACAGATGAAAGAAATTAAAGGCATAAAAATAGGAAAAGAAGAAATTAAATTATCACTATTTGCAGATGATATGATTCTATATCTAGCAGACCCAAAAGGCTCTACAAAGAAACTATTAGAGCTAATAAATGAATTCAGCAAAGTGGCAGGATTTAAAATCAACATGCATAAATCAAAGGCATTCCTGTATATCAGCAACAAATCCTCTGAAATGGAAATGAGGACAACCACTCCATTCAAAATATCTTCAAAAAAAATAAAATACTTGGGAATCAACCTAACAAAAGAGGTGAAAGACTTATACAATGAAAACTACAGAACCCTAAAGAGAGAAATAGAAGATCTTAGAAGATGGAAAAATATACCCTGTTCATGGATAGGCAGAACTAACATCAAAATGGCGATATTACCAAAAGTTCTCTATAGGTTTAATGCAATGCCAATCAAAATCCCAACGGCATTTCTTGTAGAAATAGAGAAAGCAATCATGAAATTCATATGGAAAAATAAAAGACCCAGAATAGCAAAAACAATGCTAAGCAAGAAGTGTGAATCAGGCGGTATAGCGATACCAGACTTCAAACTATACTACAGAGCAATAGTCACAAAAACAGCATGGTACTGGTACCAAAACAGGCGGGTGGACCAATGGTACAGAATAGAGGACACAGAAACCAATCCACAAAACTACAACTATCTTATATTTGATAAAGGGGCTAAAAGCATGCAATGGAGGAAGGATAGCATCTTCAACAAATGGTGCTGGGAAAACTGGAAGTCCATATGCAACAAAATGAAACTGAATCCCTTTCTCTCGCCATGCACAAAAGTGAATTCAAAATGGATCAAGGAGCTTGATATCAAATCAGAGACGCGCCGTCTGATAGAAGAAAAAGTTGGCTACGATCTACAGTCGGTGGGGTCGGGCTCCAAATTCCTCAATAGGACACCCATAGCACAAAAGTTAATAACTAGAATCAACAAATGGGACTTACTCAAACTAAAAAGTTTTTTCTCAGCAAAAGAAACAATAAGAGAGGTAAATAGGGAGCCTACATCCTGGGAACAAATCTTTACTCCTCACACTTCAGATAGAGCCCTAATATCCAGAGTATACAAAGAACTCAAAAAATTAGACAATAAGAGAACAAACAACCCAATCAACAAATGGGCCAAGGACCTGAACAGACACTTCTCAGAGGAGGACATACAGTCAATCAACAAGTACATGAAAAAATGCTCACCATCTCTAGCTGTCAGAGAAATGCAAATCAAAACCACCCTAAGATACCATCTCACTCCAGTAAGATTGGCAGCCATTAGGAAGTCAAACAACAACAAGTGCTGGCGAGGATGTGGGGAAAAGGGTACACTTGTACATTGCTGGTGGGACTGCAGATTGGTGCAGCCAATTTGGAAAGCAGTATGGAGATTTCTTGGAAAGCTGGGAATGGAGCCATCATTTGACCCAGCTATTCCCCTTCTCGGTCTATTCCCTAAAGACCTAAAAAGAGCATGCTACAGGGACACTGCTACATCGATGTTCATAGCAGCACAGTTCACAATAGCAAGACTGTGGAACCAACCTAGATGCCCTTCAATAGACGAATGGATAAAAAAAATGTGGCATTTATACACAATGGAGTATTACTCTGCATTAAAAAATGACAAAATCATAGAATTTACAGGGAAATGGATGGCATTAGAGCAGATTATGCTAAGTGAAGCTAGCCAATCCCTAAAAACACAAATGCCAAATGTCTTCTTTGATATAAGGAAAGTAACTAAGAACAGAGTAGGGACGAAGAACAGGAGAAGAAGATTAACATTTAACAGGGATGAGAGGTGGGAGGGAAAGGGAGAGAGAAGGTAAATTGCACGGTAATGGAAGGAGACCCTCAGGGTTATACAGTGGAGGGGGTAGAGAGAGAGGAGGGGAGGGGAGGGGAGAGGTGGGGAGGGGGGAGGGTGGATGATGGGAAAGGCAGCGGAGCACAACAGACACTAGTATGGCAATTTGCAAATCAATGGATGTGTAACTGATGTGAATCTGCAATCTGTGTATGGGGTGAAGGTGGGAGTTCATAACCCACTAGAATCAAAGTGTGGAATATGATATGTCAAGAAATTTGTAATGTTTTGAACAACCCACAATAAAAAATTTAAAAAAAAAAAAAGACTCCAACAGAAATTCCTTTAATTTGGATGCTCTACAACTGATTTAGTCTAGGCTATTTAACCCTATTCCATTTGTCTCATCATATCATTAAAACCTGACAGTATCAACCCCACCTACAAAAGATCTAGAAGGAACTCAAATGCTCCAAAGAAATGATAGAGAAATGCTAATCACTCCAATTTGATCAGTATGCCTTCAATGTATGTACCGACATCACATCATGTCCCATAAATCTGTAGTTATTACACACTAAAAAAAATTAAAAGAACCTTCTTCTGTCAAGGAAAATGCTGCAAGAAGCTGCACAAAGCTAGTTTAAAAAAAAAAAAAATCTACTGGGAAAGAAGAGACTCATTTAAACTGTTTGGCATTTTTCAATCCTAACAGTTTTTCTCCTTAAAACATTCTGATTAAGCATGTGTGAAACCAAGGACAATCAAGATTTATAAATCTATAAGTCACCGAACAGATAAAACAGGCTTCTACTCTTGCCCTTGGCAGGGAGCAGCTTAATCTGCCTGGAAGATCACACACCCCCAGCTGTCGTTAAAAGCTAGAGGTCAGACCACAGGCAGAACTCGGCCACTGCTGGAGTTCTCCAAAGGAGCAAAACAAGGCAAGGAGGAGAGGTAGTCCTGAACAGGGCAACACACTGTTGTTTGGGCCAGAGGAATAAAGGACAGGTTTCTTCACAAATTCTATACCGGAGGCTATGTCCTACTGAGGAAATAAGGCTTTCACCCCACCTTGCAGGCAGATGGAGAGAAGAGGGGTAGAGAAGAAAGAAGCCAAGGGAACACACACAAGTGCACAAACACACCCCTCACTTACCCTGTGCACCAGACACTATGAGTACATTCTTAAAGTGCATTATTTTATGAAATCCTCAAAACTCTGCAAAGATAAGTCTCACTTTAGACACTAGGATGCTAACACTCAATAAGACACCAAAGCCCATTATTGGCTGGTGGACTGGGGTTCAAACCTAGGTCTGTCTGATGTTAAAGCTCACACTCCTTCCTTCGTATCACACAAAAAGGAAAACGATGACTGTAGAATAACTCAGTCTTGGAGTGCTTTCTCTTAGAATGGACTCCAAGGCTGCCCCCAGCAACTCCTGCTCTCTAATGCCAAATGCAATGCAGCCACATATCAAGATGCACATCCTTCTAAGCTGGGTAGGATTCTGCGACAAGGAGGGGGTCACTACATTCTTCACTCCCAGGCCACACCTCCAGACACAAACTTCTCACATGTATAATCTTAGCCACAAGAGGGAAAGGTTTAAAATAAAAGGTTTGTGCAAAGCCACAGCACCCTGAACCTCTCCCACCCTGCACCCACTTAATTCGGAAGCCAACCACTGGTGCTTGTCCTAGCGACAGTGATTTCCACAATTACCTAAGGTCCAGGAAGAGACGGTCTCCAGAAGGGGGATGCTGCTGTAGATGGCATGCATGTACATGAGGCGAGCCATCAGCTCAGCCAGCCCCCACCAGCAGAGAAGGCGGCCCAGGCCCCGGGCAAGGACGCAGAGGCTGTCCCTCAGGGAGCAGAGTTCTTGCTGCTGCATCTAAAATGGAAACAAAGGAGAAGGTGGTATTAGATGGTGCCTTGATTTCCAAAACCTTCAGATAGTCCCTTCAATGATGTTTTTAATAAACTGCTCAAAAATTATTGCCATTTCTGCTAACAGAAGGTTGGGTTGCCTTGGAAACCATTTTATTGGGTGAAAAACGTCATATCTGAGCTGGAAGACTGTCCCAGAAAAGGAATAGGGTGGGACCAACCAACAAGCTACCTGGCTGGGAGGCAGCGCTTAATGTATTTTGCCCCTGAAACCCCACCCCGGGGACCTTGGCATCTGTGGAATCTAGGTGTCAACCTATCTGTCTTCTTCCTACATTCACTCATGTCTGTAGAGTCAGGCTAAGTCAGGAAGGGGCACCAGCTGACAAGAGAAAGAGTGGGAGCCAGCCTAAGACAGAGAGAAAGAAAGATATTAAGAGTGTGTGTTATTTTACCTAAAGTTGTTTTTGAAATAAAGTCAACCTAACAGTGATATGTGTCCTGCTCAGCAGCAATATATTAGTTAAGAACACAAGACTTTAGAGTCTAAGTCAAGATCAAATTGTAACACAAACCTTAGAACACCAGCTTCAGGGCAGCATGAAGAGAAAGAAAGTTCATGGCCAAACATCAAAGGTAAGAGAGGTGTTCATGTTGTTCAGAGAGAAATTACAGTCCCACTAGCCCTTATCTGAAATGCTTGGGACCAAGAGTATTTCAATTTTTCAGATTTTAGACTATTTACACAGACTCTACTAGTTGAGTGCCCAGTCTGAAAATCTGTCCCAAAACTTTCAGATTTTAAAGCATTTCAAATTTGAGATGCTCAGCCTATGCTGAGATTATCCTCAATATATGAGGACAATATTGGGGGGGGGGGGGCACAACACCGCATCACAGTTCTACCAAAGCAGCCTAGTTGTGAAGTCTCATCTACTGCACAAGCAATATACAATAATCTAAACCGATTCTAGAATTCATAAACTTGCTATTCAATTTGACGTGAATTCAATGTCATCCTTATACCACCATATAGAAAAACACACACACACACCCACACACACACACACACACACACAGATAAACCAGAGAGCAGTTAAGTAGTTTTCTGGATCTTACGAGATCTCGGGTCTACTGGGCTGGAGGCTGCCTTGAGATTCAGAGGTGAGGCCATGCCAAACAAAAAGCTGAACCTGCAAACAGGCTGAAAGAGGAAGTAGACTTGGCTTCACTTCTGACATGTGGGGCTCAAGACACCAAGTAAACCAGAAAGGCCAACCTAGCTGACGACCCCAAGATGCCACCTCAGCTTCTCTCTCCCCTCTAACCACCAAGGTACAGCAGCTGGCAAAGGGAGAGCTCTAGGCCAGGAAACTTAACATACAGTCTACCACTTTCTCAAACTGCTACACCAAGAAGCCATGCTAAGAAATTCTGGCTGGCTCAGCAGCATTACAGTAAGTAGCAGAAAGGACTTTTCCCACTTGCCATCTGTTTGGCTACACCCTGGAGAGTTCATTGGTTTATATCTTGTTCATGTAAACTCACAAAACTAATAGGAATTTCTTCTTTTGTTTCCCCTCAGTTCACCTCAGGAAGACATTCTGTCCAGCCAAACCAGACTGAATTGTTAGGAAACAAATGGCATCTGCTATTGAAGGATTCACCTGGCAGGCTTTGACCGGAAGAGCACTATTTGGGAAGGGGTCTCCAAGGAGGAGGATTACCCCGGTACTTGTAGTGGTCAGAGGTAGCTGCAATGACAGCTGTACAACAATGACCAGGGCAGACCCCCTTTCTGGGCATAAAACAAGAACAGTTTCTCGTCAAAATCCACCTCCAGCACACATGCTCTGAGAGGCCCTACAAAGTCCACAGCAATGGACCTACAAGACAGTCGATCAGTACATCCTAATGCTGTAACATCTGCCAGCTCATTAATACCTGCTATTTGAGAACAACAACAAAAAAAAAAAAAAACCAAATATCCTATAGTAGAGGATTGATCCAATATGAGTGTCCTTTGGTATTATAGAGCCATGAAAATAATTTTTGTTCACTGTATATAACATGAAAGGCTGATAAAAAACATCCAAATCACAACAATCATCTTTGGATAGTGAGATTTTAGTTATTGTTAACAATTAAAAATCAATTCTTTCTGTAATTTGGGCAAAGTAATGTAATTTTACAATACGGTGAAAACTTTGACCCTCTGCTGGTGAGGAAAACACTCAAAGTCCCTGGATTTCTGCACCCTGCTTCTAAAATGATGCCTAGCACCAGGACTTTCCCAGGAAGCCTACCTCACAAAGACCAACATCTTCTATGATCATGTATTCTTTTATGCTAGAGTCATCTTTACGTCTCCTTACCTTCCCACCTCCTCCTTTCAACTTCTTAGCCACGTACCAAGTTTTCTTTGTTCACTTTCTAACTTTTTCCCCAACTCACAGAAGCAAATCTATTGTCTTAATGACCACCAGCAGCTCAGAAAACCCCAATACACAAACAGTGCTGTAGTTTCAATGTCCCTCTGAAGTTCATATGTAGAAATCTTAGCTCTTCAGTCACGGTATTAGGAAGTAGGACCTTTGACCTTATGAGGTCACCAGCACAAAGCCCTCATAACTGGGATTAGCACCCTTAGAAAAGGGACCCCAAAGACCTATCCCTTACACCATGTGGTGACACAATGAGAAGAAGGTCTTCTGTAAACCAGGAAGTGGATCCTCACCAGACCCCAAGATTACTGGTGCCTCAATCCTAGACTTCCTAGCCTCCAGGATTTGAGGGCAGGGGGAGTCGACTTTCATTATAGCAGCTTGGATGGCTAAAATGCATGAAATCCATTCATCTGTGGAGGCTGAGAGTTCACACCAAGCCACTAACAAGGACAAAATATTGAGAGGCACCAAAAATCATTCTAGAGCAACAGACACATCTTTCTCAGTGCCTATGGTCTTGGACAGAAGCAAGTCATCTGGCTGAATGTGATAATGGCCCCAAAAGCAATGTTGGCAGGAGACAATCTTCACACAACAGAATGTTTCTGGTTTCTAAATGAGTAGCTCTGCACACAGGCTGAAGGCCTCTGAGCAAACGCCTACCCTAAACTCAGGTCCCCTGCAGACGAGACCTACACCTGAAGCCACAGGGCCCCATCAATGTGTAGCCCCATCCCTGGGATTAGAGAACAGCTGGAGTGGAGGTGGCCCTGCAGAAATCCAGGACATCTCTGCCAGGCTATCCAGAAAACACACCTTCCCAGTTCACCTCTGGGCTCCAGGCAATCTCACTTCAATGTCAGTTCAAGGTAAGGCCTCCTTACCCTCCCCGAACCATGTGCAACCTAAAAATGACAAATATCTGTAATTATCAAGAACCATGAGGCACCGTGTATGGCTGACTGCCTCCTAATAATGACTTACCTACTTTCCTCAGGCCAAAACTTCCCTACCAGGTTTGATAAAGCATAATTATGTGTCACAACAGGACCAAAAAGGCTGGATCTCTCTCTACAATGCTCCCTTTTAGATGAGGGCCTCATTCAAAGCAAAGCAAACATTCCTTAACTGTACAAATACATACAGGAAGAGGGGGATAACCCAACTTTTTCATTCTATTTGCTTTTACCTAAAAAGAAGGTCATTTTTGTCTGTCCGTAGGGTTGTGCCATTATTATAATCCACTTGTACCTTGAGTCTAATGGACTCTTCTTTAAAGCACCAAGCAGTGGGAAGAGCAGACACTCGACACACAGCTCAGCTAATGAGCAGGGCTGCACTCTCGTCTGCATGTAAAGCATTTCATTTGAGAGATTTCCAACCTAGGGGATTGTCAACCTGCAGACCATTGGAAAGTGCCATCAAGGGAATTTTAAGTTCAGGCTCCATTTAAGAAAAAAAGAAAAAACACATTAACTCATCTGCAAAGTGCATTTTAAAACGCATTATACTTTAAAACCTCATTTCATGCAAATTGCATGAAAGGGAATATGGAAGCCTTTCTCCTTTCAAAGATATTCTGATGATTAAAGATGACAGTCCTCAAAGATGAAAAGGTTCTTTTCCTTCACACACTAGTAACACGTATGTTTGAGGGCAGCAAACAAAGGCCTTACCCAGAGCCAATTATTCCACCCTGCCACCAACCACCAACTTCTGTCTGCTTGGATCTAGGGATCTGCTGGCAGAAGCCTTATTCCTTCAGGGTGGGTGGGTAGCTGCTTTGCATTTGGTGGTCACAGACCAAACCCTACTCCCACACCAAAAAACTAAAATAACTCCCTAATCAGAATCTCACTGGCCCCAACCCAGCCTCCCATGCCAAGGCTAGAGATGCACACTGGTCTCCCCCCGACTGCTCATGGGCCTGCAGCTGGTGCTGTTCCAGAGTCATCCTGGTCTGGCCAACTGGAGCCTCCAGACCTGCAAGTAAGTCCACCAGACCACACTCCATCCCCCTCAAACTCCTGTCACAGCAAATCAGAGGCACAAGGCTCATGTCTATTTCTTCCACTCAATCTACATTCCATTAGCCTCCCTTTGCCTCTAGCTCATCTATAAAGTGGTAACAGAAGACCCTCATAGGGTTGACTGAGGACTGAAGGAGCTAGAATATGGAAAGCCCAGTTTAGAGTAAGTTCTCACTATTATCACAGATAATGTTATTCCTGATACTCTCCAGACTCCTATACACTGGGTGCCTGCCCAGCCCTTGACAGCCACTCAGACCGAAACCACCCCATACCTGCAGCAGCTGCCCTCATCTCTCTACAAAAAGATGGACTGGCTCTTTGGAGATCAAGATGGTTGCTCCCAGAATCCCCCATTGCCATGCCTGCCCACTAGGTTGGACACCCAGGGTCCCAGTTCTGGCCTAAACTTACCCAGGAATTGCCAAATGCTTCTGTTTAACAGTAATAGTAGTTAACACTTTATGCTATTTGTGTCAAGCTATGTCACTCACACAAAACCATTTAATCCTCTCAATCCTGTAAGGGAAGTACTACTAGTCCTCACATTCAAAGGAAACTGAGGCACATATCAGGTAACTTGAAAAACCCACTCAAGCCAAAGCAGAAAAGGGGCCTGAGACCAGGAGCTGGGCTGCAGAGCCTTTGTTCTCAACCTCGGTGCAAGTTCCCCATTTGGGCACTGGCTCTCTGCCCAGGGCAGGAGCATGGCCCGCAACAAGGAGGATCCCTTGGCCCAACTTCTTCCCAACCCAGCACAGTCCACCTGTTCTAAATTGCAGGGGCCTCAGGCTCCCAGCTAAGTAAACTACTCTACTTTTCTCAGACCCTCCTGGATCCCCCAATTTCACTCTTGCTCAGTATTTGAGTTCCACAGAAGCATAACAGAAAAATAGCTGAAGATCGTGTTCCTGAAACTCTAAATGCCATCAGAAATGGACTTCAAGTTGAGCACTGAGACTCCAACAGGTAAAATTTTTAGCTATTCATCACTGCTAAGTGCAAACTTCACGTGCTTCGACTTAAGTCACCTCTTCTATACTTCATCTTGTGTATGTCAACATTTAAAAGTTTGGGTGACACAGGCATTTACTAGGGCTGTGCCTCATCTCATTTTGTCTCATTTTAAGTTTGTGGTGTCCCAAACTGCTTCTCCTGCCTGGGTTGGTTTTCACTGTAGGGCTCTGCTGCCCCCTGCTGGTGAAGCCTTACTCTTCTACCTGACCTTGTCTAAGAATTGACCTGACCATTTAAGAAATAACCATTGATTTCCTTAGTTCACTTATTCAAGCACTCATTCAGAGAAAACTCTGCTTAAGAGTTCTTCAAACTAACATTCTCCACCCCTTCCCAGGCTTTTCCTTGGAGGCCTCCCTGAAGGAGCCCATTCACCACCAGATTTGTTTCTCATTCAACCCTCCCCTCTTCACAGGTAAGCAACCCCATAGGCTTCTCTAGTCAACTACAGAAACCCCCTGGATTTTTTAATTTGCCTTGTACCTTACTGAACATTTTTCCATTTTCTAGACTGACTTTGCATTGACTATTCCCAGGTCACAGTGAAAGGTTTTAATTTGCCTTTCCAAATACCCTGCTCTCAGCAATTGCTACCATTTGGGAAAGGGTACAAGAAGAGGGAATAGATATAAATGGAACTCAGAATCCCTAATCTGACCCTCTATAAGAAGCCACCCACTTCTCTTTCCCAGTCCGAGATGGACAAGAATGGGGCTCTTGGCTAAGGTTTAGGGGAGCAATAATCTCAAAGCTGGCCTCTATGGAGCAGATACAGGATGCTATGATAGGCCTCTAGTACTCCTGCTGGACCCTTAAGGGCAAATTTTGAAAGGAGACATGAAATTTTTATAATGATGTTTTTTTGCCTCATAACAAAAGCATAGATTTTGCCACCCGGCAAAGCTCTTTATGGTTAAGAGGCAGGAAAATAATCTGTTTCCTCCTAATAGATTTAGTCTGTTTCTCAGACAATTACTATTCATCTTTGGGGGAGGAAATGGGTAGATGTTTAGTCCAAAAGTTACTGACTGGAAAATTGGGAAGAAATAAAAATCCACAGTGTCCCTTTTTATAGGACAAAATATAAAAGAAAAAATTGTGGAGGATCTGAACCTTCCCTATACTGTGCCTGCTCTTCTTCGGGGAGGACTTGGAATAGTGGCCCTCAGACTTTAGCATACAGGAGAATCACCATCACCTGGGGGGGCCTGTTAAACTATCCAGATAGGACCCCCCCCCAGAGGTTCTAAGCACTGGCACTTTAACAAGTCCCTGGAGGTGCTGATCCTGCTGGCTCTGGGACCTCACTGAGAGCAGCTGAGTTAGAAGATCAGCTGCCATCACTTGGCCACCTCTATCCTTTACCGACTGAAAGGGTTTCGGAGAGGAAATTACCTCACAGTCAAAGAATCATCCCATGTCACCCAAACTGAAGTATGAGAAACCCTATACTAAACCTCCATTGCCCAGTATATCAATTTCACATCAAAGAATTCTGGAGAGTAAGAAGTTACATCTCTCACTGGCAATTGGAGAACATGATGTTATCATAATGCAAAAAAAAAGGTACCCTTAAATGCAATGCAGAACTTGAGAATCACCAATTTTGTCTTAATTCCACTAAGAATCCCACTTTCTGGGGGGGGGGAGTGGGGGGGACACCTTTCATGTCATCCCTCAGTAAAGGATAACACTGCTGCTGGCCCTGTACTTTGAATTATGCTTCCAGGCACATGCATCTGCGTGTACTGTACAGGTGTATGCACTTGTTGTATAAATCTGCACGTGTTATTCTCTCCCCCACCAAAATTGTTTTGGTGGTGGAGGGCAGAAGTACCCCTTAGTAATAATATCGAGAACTGTTCCTTAACACTTGAAGAGAATTAACTTAAACATGCCCCGTGAACCTAGCTGTGGGTCGAGGAAGAAAGGGAGTTTGAGTAGAGGGAAAGTGCTGGATAAGGGCACAGCAGCTTAGCACAGTATCTCCCATAAGGATGCCCTCCAGAGAAGGCAGACAGGGGCCCCAACATAGGCAGGCTCTGGGACCTCAGAATCCACAACTGCCTTCAAATGTTCTCCAACTCTGCTTTTGCATCTAGGTTGCCTGAACCATTCCTAAGATACAGTGGAACAATTTCATGAGCAGTTGGTGAATGTGAAAGGAACCACACACGCTGTTTGCCAAGCAACAACAAACAGCATAGACATTTTCTCTTCCTACTCTTCCAAGGAATAGCATCATAACCAAACTTTTTCTTTCCCTGGACTTTTGCTGTAGTGGATATCAACTCCCATTCTTATCTGAGTTGTTTGGAACCCTGGCAGCCAAGGGTGGGGCCCCTTGAGCTAAAACACAAGAGACGGGTCAACATTTATTGTGAAGGCTTATTATTGCCCGATACATTTCACCTACCTACAAAAACTCCAGTCAACTAATGGTTTTGTTAATTCTGTGGGTGCACCTGAGTGGAAGGACTCAGTCACACAGATGACACAGCAACACAGACAAAGGTTTAATCTATGGAATCCTATCCAACCCCCAAAGTGGGCTCTAACCTGTTTGACGAAGTCCGGGAAGGTGAGGATGGGCCCGTTGTGGAAGACCGGATAGTAAAAGACATAGGCCAGCACCCAGGGGAAGGAGTAGGAGGCCCGGGCTGCAGGCAGCTGCTGCCAGCAGAACTCGAGGCTGAAGCTGGTGTAGCACAGGCAGCGAACCGTCAGTGTGAAGTGCAGCAAGTCGTACTCATTATCTGTCTTGTACCACCTTCTCTGCAAAACCAAAAGGAGAAAGCAACCATTGACTGGCAAGGAGAGGCAGCATGGATCCGATACAGGAGCTACCCAGCAGGATCACCGCTTTCTGAGAAGCGCAAAAGGAGACCTCTTCCTTGGCTAGGACAGCTGCTTATAAAGGGAGTCAAGAGCCAATGAAGATCAAGTAACTCATTGGAGCCAGGTGCGGTGCACAGACCTGTAATCCCAGCTACTTGAAAGGCTGAGGCAGGAGGATCACAAGTTTAAGGCCAGGCTTGGCAATCAAAGCAAGCAGTTAGAGCTAAGGGTGAGGGTGGGGTGGGGTGGGGTTGTAGTTAAATGGTAGAGCAGGAGCCCAGCATGCATAAAGCCCTGGGTTAATCCCCCCCCCATGTGTGTGCATGCGCGCACACACACACACACACACACAAAATCAAGCAGTCAATAAACAGGAAATGAACAAAGAAATGTCTCTTACATCCACCATCAAATTAGCATGAGGGTTGATGCACATAATGAACTTTTTTGTGATATGCAACCATGAGAAACATCCAGTGGATAACAAGGAGGTGCGTTACATTCAACGGATACTTTGACAGTTCCTTCCATAATTCTTATGACAAAAAGGGGCTTGTAAATGTCACTTGGGTTTTTGTCTTCGACACTTTTTTTCCTTCCTCTTCAATTATGAATTTGGCTCCACTTTAGCTGAATACTATGTTAAATCAAACTTCGCAGACTAAGAGGTCTCTAAAACAAAGGATTTACTGAGTTATTACAGAGACTAAGTAGACAAAAAGAATGGTCCTGGGGACAGGTTTCCTAAGCCACCAGAAGCACAGCCTGATAGCAGTTGGGAAAATGTCCATGGGACCTAGAGAACTAGGATGTTTTATAATGAAAATTTGGTGGAAGAAAATACATCATTTATATTGAACCTACAGATAGATGGAGAAGGAGAACGCTACTTAGGTAGAGGCCTGGGATAGAGGACATCCATACAGCATGAAACAAATCACATAAAAAATGTGCATGGAACAAGAAAAGGAAGAGTGAGGAAGGCTTACAACATTGGCAAGAGTAAAATCATGAGCATTTGATCATTTCTTATTTTCTATATTTTCCATGATAAACATACACATTTATTTTTGTTTTTGTTTTGTCCATGTAGTACTGAAATTTAACCCAGGGGAGCTCTGCCACCGAGCCACATCCCAGCCCTTTTTACTTTCTGACACAGAGTCTTGGAAAGAGTAGTAAATTTGGTCTATGAGGATCTTTTAAGGCTGCACCCAGAAAAACTTGCCACAAAACACTTTCTGCTTCATGTCTAGGACTTCAGCAGCCACCTTATTTCCTTTAGGTCTAAATTCTAATATATGTGTTTAATATACCAGCCCCAGTTCATTGGTGAGAGGACAGAAGAATTAAGATCTCCTAACAGCAAAAATTTCCTAAACTTTCCAAATACTAGAAGTGTTAACAACATTGCTTAAGGCAGATTATTTTGTTCAACCTTCGGAACAATTTCAGGAGGGAGGTAAAGTGAAAAGAAAGTAACTAGAACAGATCTGAAACCAGGTTGTCTTCTCATCTTTCCCACCAGTGTTGATTCAAGATACACCAATTCTAAATGCAGTCACCTGGAATGAACAAGTGAACAAAAATAAAGACATCATAAGGAGTTCCAAGACCACAGTGATGGAAGAAAGAATATCAAAACTTCCCAAGATTTTCTGTGCAAGGAATGTTAATGGGGTGAAGGCAAGAAATAAGAAGGCCACAGGAAAACAGATCCATGAAACATCATAAACCATTTAGAGCTGCTGGCGTCACGTGGAGCTTTGCGGGGGGGGGGGTACTGCACACACACCTGTTAAGAGGAAAATCCTTCGTCCAATTAAATTTAGTAACATTCACTTGAGCAAAGAAGAATAAAACAAATCAAAACACGATTCACCAGTCAGCAGCTTCCAGATCAGACCAGGTTCTGAGAGCTCCAGCCAACAGTGTGATCAGACAGAAAATAATTAGCTACAGCCTAGTCAATCAAGCCATCAATTGGTTACAGCTTAAGTAATTAATATTTACAGCTTAATTAGTTAATTGGCTACAGGGCCTTCTGCAATCAACCAAAACTCAGTTACTGTGATTAAACTCTACATTGGTGTGGCCTGTTGGGCCCAGTGCAGATGCCCAGTCTGAACCCCTGACCTCTCACAAATTTTGTTTAACACACTTATCCCTTCCTCTAACCCCATATCATCTCCACACACTCATTCACTTTGTGAGCAGGCATCTGCAGAGAACTGGCCTGGATGGAGCCCTGTACTCTGGTGCCTGGGAACAGGGCCCTGCCTCTAAAAGAGTTCATATTCTAGACTGCAAGACCAGGTATAGGAACTACTTCATCATACTAAGCAGTGAATAGCCATTGTCACATCCTCTAAAGTGAACATGAAAAATCTTCAGCTAACAGCAGACCCAACACCAACGAAGCAGTCAAGTACTGACAGATTTCATCCAAGAAACCAACCAGACAGGAGAGGGCTTTCTGTAGAGGCAGGAGTAGCTCATTGGGCTGTGCTTCAGAGGAAACAACAGAATCAGACGAACAAGGATGAGGGAAGAGGCTAGGTCCCAGAGACAGGACATAAATGTCTAAAGGCGAAAGGGAAGCAGAGTCACTGGACTCCATTAGCACCTGCATCTCCACGCAGGAAGTGTCTAGGAACCCAGCTTTGACACGGGAAGATGGACAATGGTGGTGCCCCTGCCCTAGGCACATGATGGCCCTGAGTTTTCAGAGTTGGGAATTTCTCTGGCTGTTTGGTGTCAAAGTCGACTGAGCCTGAAATTCAAGGGCTTCAGACATGCTGCCCCTGGTTTTTGGAATTTTTTCTTCTTACCATGCATTTCTTCCCCAAGGAGAGTTCCCACTTCTGATTGGCTGAGACCTCCATACCAATTGCACACCTGGTGGCCTCCCTGGCTGTGGTCTTAGATGACAAGCCTGATTCTCTGACATGAAAGTGGAAAGGTACATTCAACAAGGGAATGATATAGGGAAGCTATGCAAACTGCCCAAGGTGTCCCGTTCAGGCCCCATTTTGCACAAGTAGAAAGTCTTTCAAGTTACAAATGACAGAAGAGACCACTGAGAGGTGTCCAGAGGATGCTGCACACCTTCCAGGACATGGTCTGGGACTGTTCAACAGGAACCAGAAACAGTGCAGGAAGAGCCTGCTGAGGGGTGCCATCAGCTCAGCTACACATGCCAGGGCCAACCCCTGGGCCAGGACTGTGCATTTTGCAGCAAAACACATTTTTCTCACTTTCTAAACATAAAGAGCGTCCGTTATCTACATGAGGAGATAATCAATAGATATGTTCATCAATTAAGAAGAAAACCACTTGTCTTACCTGTCTCAGAGCCATGGTGGGCACTGGAAGTGATAAGGCCTTGTGAGCAAGAACATTCCCTAAAAATTGTAGGCCACTGAACAGATCATTTTAATAAAATGCCTGGGGCACTCTTCATTTATTTTCCCTTTGGTCCTGTCCTCTGATCTTTCCAAACAGGGGAAAAAGGTACAGGGCTAGACCTGGGCAACCTCACAGGGCAGAGACAGAACAAAAAACTAAGACTGCAGAATGTGAGTAGGGCTCACCTGTAGCAACCCTGTGTGGCCACAAGGGGGAGCTCCGCCGAGGCGCCACAATCTTTTTTTGTGTTTGGGAAAAAAAAAAAAAAAAAAAAGTTAACCTGCTGGGATCAGGAAAGGCCAGGGCGACTTCACCTTCTCCGCCTAAAGACACAATAGGAAGACACTTACCTTAACTTCCTCTACACTTTGCAGCCTCAGTGTGGAGAGTAGCAGGAGAGAACAGAGCCATGACAGGAGCAGCGACCGGAACTGGGCCACACAGAAGGCGATGACGGTGTGCAGAAACACCATGGCCACACCAGGGACCCCCAGCACACTCCAGCAGGCCCACATCCCATAGACCATGAGAATCCAGGGTCTGTGCTACAGACAGGGAGAGGGAGAGGGGGAGGGGGAGGGGGGCAGAGGGAGGAAAAGAGAAAGAGGTGAATTCATGGGCTGTTACACCTAAGAGGACAATGTTCAGCGACCCAGTGACCCATAACCGACCTCTCTTCTCACTGCCCTGAAGTTCAGATGAACTTAGCTTCACTCCCACGTTTCCAGAATTCCATCAGATCCACCCCAGAGCAGGTCGCCACCTCCCTGCCCTCAGCTAGGATCCCAGACTACCAGATCCCACCACAATAAGACCTTGCTCTAGCTGACTTTTCAACAGACGCTAGGAAGACAGAAGGCAGGAGCAAAACGTGCCACCCCAGAAGCCACACCCGGCAGGCACCACCCTTCCAAGGTGAAGGGGAGAGGGAGTCTCTGAGCATTCCTAGGGAGTCTCATGAGAAAACTGCTGTCCACGCCACAAAAGGCTTTCTGACGTCCAGGCCAGAGAGTTAAATATCTAATCACATTTTTAGTATATTGTTGACAGTCAAATTTATGTCATGGAAATAAAATCTTATCTTACCAGCTTTACATGATGGTGAGACCTTTATATAGTCATCCAACTGATAACACGTATTCCCATTTTAAGAGAATCAGAATATTTTTCTATTTAATTACCATGTAATTTATGGTTATTATATTGAATAACTAAGCAGATAAATCAACATGTCCTTGCTATTATGATATACTCTTAGTCATATCTGGCTGGTAAATTTTTTTTAATTTTTCATTTGTTCTTTTTAGATATACATGACAGTAGAGTGTATTCTAACATTATACATACATGAAGTATAACTCCCCATTCTGTGGTTGTACAAAATGTGGAGTTACACTGGTCATGTACTCATATATGGAAACAGGAAAGTTATGTCCAATTCATTCTACTGTCTTTCCTATTCCCATCCCCACTCCCTTCCCTTCTTTCCCCTTTGTCTAATCCAATGAACTCTAGTCTTCCCTCTTCCCCTGCCCTTATTATGTGTTAGCATCCACAAATCAGAGAGAATATTCGGCCTTTGGTTTGGGGCGGGGGGGGGGGGGGATTGGCTTATTTCACTTAGCATGACAGTTTCCAGTTCCATCCATTTACCAGCAAATGCCATAATTTTATTTTTCTTTAAGGCTGAGTAATATTCCATCATGTATAAGTACCACATTTTCTTTATCCATTCACCTGTTGAAGAGCACCTAGACTGGTTCCATAGTTTAGCTATTGTGAATTGAGTTGTAATAAACGTTGATGTGGCTACGTCACTATAGTATGCTGATTTTAAGTCCCTTGGTATATAACAAGGAGTGAGATAACTGGGCCAAACGATGGTTCCATTCCAAGATTTCTGAGGAATCTCCATACTGCTTTCCAGAGCGGTTGTACCAATTTGCAGTCTGTGGTGGGTAAATTCATGTTTAAAAACCATAATAATGCTTTAACATTGAGAGGTAATATCATTATGGTTTAATGATTCAATCTTTAAAGTCCACTTGCCTAAATGCAAATGCTTGTGTCCCCATCAACTAGCTATGTGACTCTAGGCAAGTTACTTGAGCTCTCTGTGCTTCTGTTTCTTCGTATATAAAATTGGAGTAATGACAGTATCAACTTCACAAGGTTGTTGCATAGATTAAATAAGTTAAATTAGTACAGTATCAACACAAAGTAAGAAATCCTCAAATACTAGCTGTTATTCCTAAGGAATATGATGTCTCATGGATGTGTGTGTGTGTGTGTGTGTGTTTTGCTGGGAATTGAACCCAGGGTCTTGCATTTCCTAGGTAAGCACCCTACTATTGAGCTACATCCCCCAGCCTGGGTGTGCATTTTAAAATGTGGTTTCCAGAAACACACAGAGCTTAAAAAGTAGCAACTGACTGAATTTAGATCTTCTCATGAAAACAAAAAGACTTTTTGCAGGGAAAGACAGATGTGAAATGTAAATTGTAAGTTCCATGCTTAGCTGTTAATTCTTCCAGAATATCACTTGAGTTACTATTCTTTCCCAAACCTATACTCCAGTCTAGGAGAATATTTTAAATGTGAGAGTAGGTCAGGCACTTTTAAGTTCCAAGAAAACCAGAGAAATCTGAAACTCAATTTTACTTTTTTTCCATCCTACTACCCACAAAACACAGGCTCATAAATTTGCTTCAGACTTTTCCCCACTCACTCACCTCTGGGCACAGTCCAATTTTAAGAACAAGGTTGCCAAAGACTATTTTAAGACATAGTTTTAACAAATGAAAGAAAGACAGTTCCTTTTCAGCCTGACCTAAAGCAGTTACTGGCAGGATTCTTCTCCATGCATGCGTGGCTACGTCCACAGATGCACACACAGTTCCACTTTTATTAAGTGCTACTTGATCCGTTTGGAAAAAGCCTGTTTGCTGGGATTCATCTGGAACTTACCGCAGACTAAAGCTGCTTCAACTTGGAAAAAGCTGAAGGAAACTTCAGGAAATACTTGGTAGTGCTGTGTAAACCCCATCTACTTGAGAGATCCTATGATGAATTTAACAGTGGTCTCAAAAGCCATCTTGGGGGCAGACAAATGTGTCCCATATTCTGCCTCATTGCCCCACTGTCTGCCTCCTGCCAAACAGTACAGACAGATGACCCTGAATACAGTCCTAAGACACCCAGGGAATGCTCTCGAGTTCACTTCATGTTCTGAACTAACCTTGCTTACCCCCACCTCCCCCAGTCCATGTGACTCTACAATTCATTCGTGGTGAACAGGAAATGAAATGATTTGAATCATGCAACGAGAATCACCCATACAAAACAGCTGTGTGAATCAGAACCCCACTGCAATATTGATTTTCATATCTCATATATAAAAACACTATTGAAATTCCATCCCCAAAATACCATTAAAACTTTGATATTGCATGATCAGTCCCACCCCATTCTCCAACTGCATCATAGAGGGTGGTCCCCACTGTGGACGTAGCTCTTACCCACCCACCCCATCCACTATCCCTCCACCAGCAGGCCTAGAACCAGAAGCAGCAGTACTGAGAGGGGTCATGGAACCGCAGAGTGACATTGCCTTTGCTGCCCATGGCCACCAGGTCATCATGGATGGTCATCTTCTTTGGGTGGCAAGGGAGATTTTTCCAAGTATTTCAAAGATCAATATCATGTACAAAAGCCTAAATTCAGGCCTGCCCATCTACCTCTACTCCAAATGTATTACATGTTTATCAAACTCTTACCTATCTGTTAAGTGAAAATGTTAAGCCTCTGACCCAAAATAGGCCAGAACTTTTTTAACTTTTCAAAAATAAAATGTGTCATGTTTCATTGCAAAACAATACTTCTGTCTCATCACTAGAAGCACCTTAAGTTTTTTTCCAAGCTTTAGCAGATATACAGGGTCTGGATCATACACATACTCTATGTCAAGTTCAGATCTTTAAAACCCACATAGAAATAAAACCAGGCCAATTCATTTAAATTATTATGTTCAAGCGATAACTAGAATTGGAAACTGCAGATCACTAGAAAAGAAAACACAGAGAATCACATTGATCAAGTAGATGAAGAAAACATGAACTTAATTGATTGCTTGGCTATGATGTCTCTCATTTAGAAAATTTCACTTTTCATTAAGTACAACTTTTACACAAGGCTTTTTCCAGTTGATATTTTGATTGAGATGATTATAGAATTACATGCAACTGTAGGAACTAATACAGATAAATCTCTTACCTAGTTTTCTTCAGTGGTAACATTTTGCAAAACCCTAGTATGATATCACAATCAAAATATTAACATGACTATACTTTTTCAAATTTCCCCGTTTACTTTTACTCGTGTGTGTGTGTGTGTGTGTGTGTGTGTGTGTGTGTGTTGAGTTCTGTACAATTTCATCTCGAGTGTTGGTTTGGCTTCTACCACAGTAGAGACCCAGGACAATTATCTCCCCCCAAGGATCCCTATGCTGCCCTTTCACACCATGTGCACCTTCTTCTCATCCCCTCTCCCCTCCCCACTGTAACCCTCGGCCACCACTAATCTCCATTTCTGAAATTCTGTCACTTCAAACTCACACAGTAGGTCACCTGTAGGAGGTGCTCTTTTCACTCAGCATAATTCCCTGGAGAGTCATCCAAGTTGCTGTGGTCACTGAGGGTTTTGTCTTTTTATTGCTGCATTTTCCATGGTATGAATGGACCACTGTTTATTTAACCATGTGCCAGTTGAAGGGCATTTAGGCTCTCTCCAGTTTGGGGAGATTACAAATAAACTGTTACAAACATATGTGTACAGGTTTTTGTGTACAAATAAGCTTTCATTTCTCCCCAAAAGAGCACTTGCTGGGTGGCATGGCAATTGCATGTTTAGTGCCGCAGTGAACAGACGAGCAGTTTTCCAGTGTGACTTTGCCATTGTACGTTCCCACTAGCAATGTGCAGATGATCCAGTGTATCTGCATCTTTGCCAGCCTTTGGTGGGGTTACTGCGTTTAATCTGAGCCCATCTGGTAGGTGTGTAGTGATATCCTACTGTGGCTCTAGTCTGAATTTATGATGCTCTTGTGATGGGTATAAAAATGTGAGCAGGGGCTGGGGATGTGGCTCAAGCGGTAGCGCGCTCGCCTGGCGGCATGCGTGCGGCCCGGGTTCGATCCTCAGCACCACGTACAAACAAAGATGTTGTGTCTGCCGAGAACTAAAATAGAAATAAATATTTTAAAAATTCTCTAAAAAAAAAAATATGAGCAAACTGGAGCTTGAGATCAAGATGACCTAAAAGGACTTGACTGGAGCACAGGATGATTTCTCCCCAGGTTCTTCTGCTTCTAGTAAAAGATGGGAAAAAAAAAAAAAGCTGCTTCCCTCTGCCACACTCTTTCTACATGTTCAGCCTCACCTCCAGCCCCGAGAAATGGAGCTGGCCTCCTATGAACTTAGACCTTTGAAACAATGAGCCCTCAAATAAACTCTTCCTCCTCTGTAATTGTGCTGGTTGTATCCTTTAA